TACAATTGGCTTAATTTTTGTTTAATCTTAGAAATAAACCAAAAACATAATTTTTTGTTTGTTTTACTGAATATTTATAAAAGAATCAAGTTTCATACTTAAAGTAAACACGTTCCTGCACAAATTTTAGTGTACTTTCATTATCTGAAAAGAAAAACTTAATATTCATATTAGTTTAGTAGATATTTACAATTTTAAGTCAGAAAATGTATAATTCACATTAATATAAAATATAACCTAAAAAAGTTAAAATTTATCAAAATATCGAAATAAGAAAAACATAAACAAATGCTAATATTTGTATTGAAATTAATTAAAATGAACTAAGAAGTTAATTCTTCACTGAAATCAACAAACAAAATGGCTCTATTATTAATATTTACAACGTTATTTAGTAAAAATTAAAAACAAATAGCTATTGTCGTTTTGTTGGTGTTTTATTGAATATTTACTAAAATAATTAAGCTGGAAACTTAAACTAAACTCTATTCTATACTATAATTAACGTATTTTCATAATCTGGAAAGAAAAATGAAATATTTCAATTAATTTACGAGATATTAACAATTTTATACCAAAAAATGAGTAATTTTCTATCAATACAAGATATAACTTAAAAACAGTTAAAACTAATCAAAAATCTAAATAAAAACTAAACTAATAAAGATAAACTAATCAAATAAATAACTACAAGTAAAATAATCAAATCTCTAACCAAATCTAACCCCAAAATACCCACAACTCAAACCTATACATCGCAATTAAATAAAAACCTCAATTTTAGTTAGAAATAAGTTATGTATTTTAAACTTGGAAATATAAATATGTATACTAATACATGAACAAACGCATTACAAGTCAAACCAATAATAATTAAATGTAAAAGGAATCAATTAAGTCTTTAGTAGAAAATTTGGACACTGTCTGTCAATATCACAAGAGAACCCAAGGTTTTAGCCATTTAGCAGTTTGCTGGTGGTCTACAACATTAAACAACCATCATAATCAAACAACCCAATAACTCTCCCTACAAAACCAATCAAAACTCACGTGGTAGTAGTAATATTCTCAAACAAAACATCCTTCTTCCTATTGATACACAGAGTAATCGCCATCGACGCCAGAAACACAACTAAACCAACGACCAGAGTCATGATTTCATGCGCACGGGCTGGTTTCAGGAATAATCTCACATTGAACTCCCTCCAGACACTTTCAGTCCATGAGGAATATTCACCAGAAGTCCAATCATATCCTAAACAATAAAAACATCAAAAATTAAACAAAAATTTAATAAAAACAAATAAATTACCATCGATTAAAAACGCCGGACTCTCCGCATCAGTCAAATTCATCGAAATCCTATAACACTGTGTCTCATTCCTCTGTAAAACACTCTGCGACATGTTGAAATGATAATAAACATGTGAAGACATGTTCAGAGGACAAGCACCTTTTCCAATCGTATCACCCATGAAGAATGCAAATGTCAATGCTAATAAATTCGTCATAATGTTGGAACTGACAGTGACACCAACATATAAACTCAAAGGTACTGGTTGGAAGCTGCCTTTTCGCAGAGCTCTGTGTATACTGCAGTTTGCCGACTCAAGATAACAATGCAACAATTCATTGATGTAATATTTGTTATAACGTTCCGTCCCCTTATATTCTCTCTTAGTGACTGCTTCGTAGAGTGTTTTAGCTATGCCATCAACCACTCCACCGATAAATACCTGTATACTGTCTTTTGGGAGTGTATCTACATCGTCTCCATTGGTTATGTTTTGATAAACAAATTTTATATTGTTTGAGTTGTCGTAGATGCTGTTGTAGTATGCATTTGTGAAGTTGGTTGCATAGTCTGTAAGCACAAGACTCTTGGGTGCGTTTTTTTCTCTTATGAATGATTGGATGGATGTGGGTGGGATGGTGTCTGTGTGTATTTCAATGTTTAGTAGGTTCTTTTTTAATATGTTGAGGAATTCACTTTGTTCGGGTTCGTTTAGAAGGTGTAGGTGGAGTTTTGGTGTGTTGGTGATTTGGGAGATTTCGAAGACGGTGTCGATGTCTTCGAAGCGGATGGGGTTGGAGTGTTCGGTGGTTGATGTGTATTCAGAACGGGGGAATTCGCCTTTCTTCATGTCGTAGACTATGCGTTGGGAGCCTATGTAGTCGAAGCTTTCGCCGTTGAAGAGGATGAAGACAACGTTTCGATCTAAAATTAAGAAAATTTAAGTTTTTATAAAATGGTTGATATGAGGTGGTTGTAATTGAGATAGAATGTTGATATTTGGTGGGTTTGTGTGTGGATTAATGTAATTTTATATTGTGAAAAGAGTTTGGGTTTATGTTGAATATTTTAGGAGATATTTGAGTTTAAGTGATGAGTTGCGCGGTAAAATGACGAAAATTAGAGAAAAAAAGTTTAAAAGTGTTGTAAAATCTAAAATAATTGAGATATTGATATGAAATAAACGTCATTTTATAGATAATTAACCAAAGTATTGAATGAGTATGAGTCCAAGTCTTGTTTTTGCTCGTATTATTGTTAATTTTAAGTTTTTAACAAAAAAATCAATTTTTTTTTCAAAAATAACTAAATTTTTGATATTTATGTTAATAAATATTAAACTAAATCAATCAACAATATAAAACAAAGTGTTAATAATGTGTTAACTAATGTGCTTTCATATTTCGAAAACAAATTGTCATTATCTTAATTATTTCCTGAGTTATTCAAATTTTTGTAAAGACATGTCATACTTTTACACATAACCAACAAAACCGAACTTTAAACTCTTGTAAAAACTAAACTAATCACTCAAATTCAATAAAATAAAGTGCAAAACATAAATAATTTCATAATCTACCAAAATATCCAAACAAAACAATTCTATCTAATTTTTTCCGTGAATTATCCTCAAAAAACCAACAAAAATCATAAAAACCGCAATAAAACAAATTCTATCAAATATTTTCAACTTACCATAATCTTCATAGGTGGGTAACATCCTCTTGAGCAGTTCAGCAACTCCTAGTAACGTTACCATCCCCGTGACAGCGCTCTGCGCACCAGGTTCCAAATTATAAAACAACGAAGTGGCGTCAATGCGACTAACGACCAAAATCTGCTTGATATTACTCTTCAAAACAACAGCAGGCGATAGAGTTGAATTCCCAATTGGAAACAACGATGCCCACACGTTCTGATCACCCAAAGCATCACAAAACTTCATCGGATTCATGTTTACAACGGATTGCGATCGTCTAAACACAAAAAAAACAAAATTTTACAAAAAAATCAATAAAATTATATTTTTACTCGCCTTAAACATGTAGGTGTGTCATAGGCAGCAAACATGAAGCTCTGAAGTTCAATACTGCATAGAGAACGACTTGTATGCTCATCAAAACTGAAATTATTAAACTTTCCGAAGCAATCGCGGACTTTTTTCACTTCTTTCTCTTTATCCAAGTAAAAAACCGGGAATTTGAAGTCTTCAGCCAGGAGACTGTTACCAAAGAAGTTCCATTTGGTGTCACAAGTGCCTTGGATGTTACTACCTTCATTCGGACACTTTAAATCAGGACTGTAGTGATTTACAGGCAATTTTTGTTCATTTTCAATGTTATACACTAGTAAACCACTGATATGGTCCAGCAGCTGTAGTTTACTATTGAGTTCTCTAGTGAATAACTCAATTGGGATGACTGGGATGTAGTCTAAACCATTTTTGACATCCAAAACAAAGTTTAAATCACTTGGCGAGTCAACAAAGTGGATCACACCAGTTGAACCATCTCGTTTGGCTGAAAAATTCAAATATTTATATTAAATATTGTTTATGGTGATAAATAAATATATTTTCTAGATTTTTGCTGTGGAAATTATCAATTTATGTCTTTTGTTGCTCTGTTATCAGTGATTTAACTTACATGAGCAGCCAATTTGGTGTGTGCCATTCAATCGACGAAAACAAGCGGATATTCCGTCGACTTCATCGTACATCTTGTCTTTGGTACGTTGGGAGTGTACTATCAGTAAAAAATCGTAGATAATATTAGTGAAACATTGTTTTATATCGTTTTTTAGGTGTTTTATCAACTTAACCAACAAATTGTCTAGAAAATTACTCACCAGACGCGCACAAAGCAAAAATCAGGATATATTTAAACATTGGCGACATCGTGAAATGTTTAGGTATTGATTTATGTAGAAACAAAGTTGTTAATTAACGCGGAAACATTGTTTATGGCGAAATTATTTATTATCTGACAACTTCAACAATGCAAGATGAAAGATGACAGATGTGTACGTATGGTTGCCATACATTCACAACTAAAAATTAAAATTAAATTAAAAACAAATTCAAACGTAAAGTAATAAAAATAATTCATAAAAGTGTTTAGAATATTAATTTATATTGTTAGTATTTAGAATTATTTGTTATTTATTATGTAAAACAAAAATAATGTATAAAACAGGTAAATAGTAAATATGCATTCCACTAGAGGGCGCTAGCAGTACTATTTTGATTATTATTTACAAATGTGCCGTACTTTTTCAAAAAATAATTAAACTAAAATATAAACAAATTAAAGCATTAAACAATAAAAATTTAACTTACAAATGTTTAAATTAATAACTAATATTGTTTGTACATTAAATTTCTAATTATTTATTGCAAAAAACAAAAATAAAATTTGAATATTTCATTATTTAAAGCGCATTCCGCTAGGGGGCGCCACAAGTACCACTTTGACATTAATTCGTACCAAGATGATTGACAGTTTTAACAATTCAATTTTTCAACCTTGTTCAACGTTTAATCAACAAAAAACGCAAAATAAGGTAAATATAACCTTATTAACCATAACATAAACAATATATCTAACATATCCAACCAATTTAACCACTTGAAAAGACGTATATACTTCATAATCACGAAATAAACGCAAAAATGCCGGAAAACGAAGGCGTGTGCTCGCATACATCTAAATGGTGTGGGGGGCAAGGTTCGACGCACGGCGCCGGCTCGCGCGCGTCGCGACGTTACGTAATCGCAAAGTAGAAGTCACCGGGGCCGAATGTGTCTCTCGGTCTCAGGCGTCCGTCGAACGCGCAGCGCACACACTTAACCGGTGCATCCACCCGCCGACGCACACGCTACAAGAACATTTCCTCTTCTCTAAACTCAAAAAACAATTGATAACACGCAGTGCGCAGCAAATGAGTTAATCCAGTGAATAAAAAAACATGCGGAAAATGTGCGTGGCTAAAATCAATCGGCGGTGAACACGAATGCTAATTGCTCCGATGTTAAATTTAAATGAATGTGCAAAAGTAATGATTGCGTAATGCGCGCATGAGTAAAATTTGATTTTTGTGGATTTTTTTGGTGGAAATCTGCGGGAGAACTGTAATTTTCGGCCGGTGTGGTGGCAAGTATTGGAAAATCAATTCCGGGCCCTGAAGGCGGGTGGAGGCGGCGCGCCGGCGGTGTGCACGTGTGAGTGGCGAGTGTGTGCGGAAGCTGAGCCGGCGAAAACGCGCAAAACGTCGATAAAATTTAATTTGCGGTGAATTTTTTTGGAGGATTTGGAGTTGATTGTTGTTAGATACATTGATGGTTAAAGGTCGTGTGGTGGTCGTTGCGGGGTGATTTGAGGGTTTTGAGGGTTTTTCCGAAGAGAGGCGTGCGCAGCGGACCGGAAGATGGGCAAGAAGGCCCGCAAGACGAGATGGCGTGCACTGGCTATTGATACCGGTGAGTTTTTTGACGTTTTTATTAATTGTGGAGGATTGGTGAGGTGTAGGATATTTTTTTAAAAGGGAGTTTGAAGATGATGAAATTGTCTATGTTTTGGTGTAAGGATGGTTGGTTTAAGTGTGATGGTTTAGGAGTTATGAAGGATTTTATATGAAGGTTGATAAATTTGTCATTTTTTACTAATTTGTTGATAATTAGTAGGGTAATTAGTTTATGGTGTTGAAATTTTGTGGAAATATTCTTGATTAGTTGGTTTATTGATATCAGTTTAGAAAATTTAATTATTGTTAATAGTTTTTGAGTTATTAATGATTAAAGTTAACATTTAAAAAAAATCGATATAAAAATATAGAAAACTGCAAAAGTGTGACTAAATTTGTTGTAACTTTTAATTGGTTACAGTTTTTAAACTTTTATAAAAACAATTTAATAGTTGCTAATATTATCTATCTTTTCAAGCAAGATTGTTGTTTTATCACTGATAGTTTTTGAGTTATCAGTGATTAAAATTTAAGTTTTAAGAAATTGATATTTTTTACAAATTTGTTGATAAAAACTAAACTAAATTATTTATAACCTCAAAAACTTAAAAATATATTGAGGATTAGTGGTGTTAGAGATATCTGTTTAAAAAATTGAATAATACCTAGTAGTTTTTAAGTTATCAATGTTTAAAGTTGACTTTAAATTAATTTGAATACAAAAAAATAAAAAATGCAAATATTCAATTTTTTTTGCAATAACTTTTGAAACACTCAGTATAATTTAATCAAATTTTCGTAGAACATAACCAAATAGTACTGCTATAATATACCAAAGAAACAATTACAATATATTAATTAGTTTTCTATTTATTTAACCTCAAAATAAATTTTTAAAACTAAAATAATTAATTTTTACAAAAACAATCATAATTAATAAACTTTAAAACATACAATATTTTACTAAATACAATATAAAAGTATAATAAATTCTCTTTCCAATGATGTTTTATTCTATTTTCTACGACTTTCATAACTCAAGTTATACGACTTGATAACAGACACATTTTATCTATTCCCATATTTCTAAAAATATCAAAAATTCATTTGTTTTATACATTTATCCTCTAAACATTGATCCTCTGTTTCGCTGCTCGGCTGTTCGACTGTGGTGCGTTATGTCGTTTACATTACTCGTACGCTTACGTCGTTTACGAATACTGCAATTATGTAATCAAGCAAACCATGCGATCCATGCTCGAACCTCTCGACGAGCGCAAAAAGCACGTGCTTGAACAACTCACGAGTTATTATTAAATATTCTATATAAATTTCGCACTTTACGCTCCGTTCTTCTCACCGTATTATTTTACTAGACTTTTATCTCTAAAGATTTAAAAATAAAAAATTCGTTTGGATAAAAGTAACTTTTTGCATTGAAATGCAATTTTGCATTGAGTTTTATTGTGTTTTATTGTGCAACGAGGATAATTACTTGACGTGTGTCAGGTTAACGAGCGTAGTAAAGGTGGTATTTGTGTGGTTATGCACGTGGTTTGTTGGCTAGCTGAAGTTGAGGTTGTAATTGTAGTTTTAGTGCTTACTACGAGCGAAATAAACTAAAGTGAGGTAAAGTGAAGTGGATTTTGTGACTGTGCATAAATTCGCTAATGTTGGTTTTTAGTATTTTGTTGATAACTTTTGTATAGAAGGAGTTGGGACTTTGAAATTTTGAATATAGGTAGATGGGTATATTGTTTATAGTACTTGAGAATAACAATATTTTATTTTTGTTAGTTTAATAGATATTTGGTATTAAAGATATAAATTTTTGTTTTTTAAAACAGTTTTATTTTTTATATTTTTGTTTATAACTTTTAAATTAACAATAGTTGAATATTAAAAATTAGTACAGGGATAAATAATTAGTTAATAAATAAATTTTGAAAATTGCAATATTTTTGCTTAATTGGTTTAAAAGATATTTGATTTTTAAATTGTTAAAATGAAACAAAAAATAATACATTTTTTGCTATTTTTGTTTATAACTTTGGAAATAAATTATTTAGAATATTAAAATTTAGTACGCAAGTAAACAGATGGTATATAAACAAATCTCTAAAATTTCAACCTAATTGTTTAATTAATTTAATAGTTATTTGATCTCAAATTTGTCAAATAAATTTAAAACTGAAATTATACAATTCTAACAATTTATGTTAATAACTTTTAAATAAAACATTCTAGAACGTTCAAATTTCATACAGTTATAAACAAATAACCTCCCAACATACCCCAAAAATTACAAAACCGTAATCTATTTAGTATAAAAGTTATAGGCTCGTAAAATGACATCGACATGAATAATTACTATCAACACATTTTTATACCTCTATACAATAAAAAAATGATAAATTTCGATAAAAAAAACTTAAATAACGCAATAAATTTCAATAACATCACATTTGACATTATTTGACGCAATTAATTTCCAAATACTTTTATGCCATTTGACACTTTTGACATGACTCCTGACACTTAATATCATGCACATCGCGTGATTTTAATTTTGTTTCATATTTCGTTTTTTATTATTCATGTTTTTCATCGGTAAAACAAAATAAAAACTAATAAAAAATTTACTACTGCACATAAACATTATCATCATGCATACTCGTATAGTACGAGTAACTTTTGACGTTGATAAACTTGGCTTAAGTTAAGACACTTAACATTAAAGTGCTTTAAAAGTGTGACTTCCGTTACGTCTCTACTTTTCGTCTTACGTTATATTTAAATTCATATTCTGACTTCTCTTGACACTTGAAAAATGTTCCGCATCATTTTTTTCTATTCCTGTTTCCCTGTTTGATTTTTTTCTTTCTTATTTCTTGTTTCAAGACGGGTTAAGTGTGGATGAAGAGTTGTGTAAGCTAAGAATAGCGCCGGCTGAGATTTTCAGCAATGCGTGGCTGAAAATAGTCGCGGTGGTAAATTGTTCGTGGATGAGATGTGCTGGCCTGCGGCTCGACGCCTCAACGAGCCGATTATGCCAATTGATTGCGTTTTATGTTTATGCGCGCGGAGATGAAATGCGGTGATTATGAAACGATGCACAACGCAAGCACCAAACAACTAAATCAGTGCGTACAAGTAGTAAAATATCTTGTTGAAACATTTGGTTTTCATTAGGAAATTGTATAAATTTAAGGATTTATTTGTGTTTATTGTTAATTTTGAGTTATTAAGGTAAATAAAAGAGTTGGATTGGTGTTAAATGATGATAAATTTAGTTTAATATTTTTTGGTCATTTTGATGGCTTATAACTTTTTATTTAAACAAATTATAGTTTTGAAACTCTAGGGATTTGTTTATAATGTATTTATTTATAAGGGTACATAATTTGATGGTTCTAGAGTGTTTCATTTAAAAGTTATTAACAAAAATAGAACAAATTGCATTTTTTACTTTTTTAATTTATGATCAACTTCAAGAACAATTTACTTTTAAAATAATAGTGGTACATGTTTGTAATTTTTAGAAAATGTTTATAATGTACATAGTTATTTTCGTACCAAATTTCAATAATTTAACTTTATTTGTCTAAAAGTTATAAACAAAAAAACCGAAAATTTCATTTCTACCACTCTAAAAAAATTTCTCAACTTTAATTGTTAATAACTTTTAATATAAATAATCAACAAAACCACAAATTTGCACAATCATTTATAAAATATTCATCTATACCTATACCAAATTTAAACATTCTAAGTCTATCCATTCAAAAGTTATAAACAAAAAACATAAATTTCTCCATAAAACAATTTTTAACACAACCAATATGAAAAACTCAATAATTTCTAATTTCTTGACAAATATACATCCTTAAAACCACCTAGAAACAAACCAGTACAAGATAAAAGTGTAAAACTAATATATAAATAACCTTAATTCAATTAGCTCGTATTTAACACACGTATAATATAAACCTGCTCTACTCTACTCTTACTCTACTAAAATACTCGTAAGTTACCTTAACTCAACTCAACACAAATAAAATCTAAAATCAGTTCTTGGCATTTCTACACCACGTCCGACATAATTCACAATCAAGTGTCAACTCGTCGCCGGTAGTAAACTCGCTTCTACCCACACACCATACACCATATATTTATTTACTTATTTATCACGGTTTAATATTTAATTATCACTCATACACCCTGAAATACCGAATACTGAAAGTTCAGTATAGTTTGACGACTAATAAAACCCAATGATAATTGACACCTTTATACACGAGTATTTAAATATAACAAACAAACAGGTATAAGTAGTATAAGTAGACTTATTTCACGTGTAAATTTATATTTGAAATTTAAATTTCGAATTTTATTATTTCCGGTTTTGTTTATTTAGTTTTAATTTCTACCTGTCACTAACCTGTGTGCAGGTAGCTAACTTTTTTTAATGCGTGTAGTAAAGTTGTTTTTCTAGAAATGTTTAGAGGGTTTTTAGAATGCTCGTAACAGTTGTAATTAAATGCGAGTTGAGTGCGCGGAGTAAAAATTTATTTTGCTAGGATTATTGAATACTGTTATAGGACTAGTTTTTTTATGATTTTAGTATTGTAGGAGATAGTGCAAGTGGTGCAAGTACAGGTACAAGTAGTCGTTATGATGATATACTTGTACCAGTATGTTTATATTTATTGTGAATTCTAGAAATACTTGTAGTAGAAAATGTTGAATGTTTGAGGAGTGCCAAAAAATTTTTGTTAGTAACATGCTTGTAACTTTTGAAGTAAACATGCTATTGTAATAAATTTCAATAGTTTTATAAATAATTAAATTGTTTATTAGGTGGTGAAAGATTTATGTTGGTGGAGATGATGGTTTAAAATTTATTTATGTTTAAAGAGCAAAGTTTAGAATAAAAGTTTTTTTGAGAAAATTTTTTATTTTTTTAAATTTATTGGGTCATTTGATAAGAGAAGTTGTTCAAATTTGGTGAGTTTA